TAGTAGAGACAGGGTTTTGCCATGTTGGCCAGACTAGTCTCCAGCTCCTGACCTCAGGTGATCTGGCTGCCTCAGCCTCCCAAAATGCTGGGATTACAGGCGTGAGCCATCGCGCCCAGCCTTGAAACATTTGTTTTAAAATAGTTGGCCAGGTGTGGTGGCTCATGCCTGTAATTCCAGTACTTTGGGAGGCTGAGACAGATAGCTCACTTGAGGCCAGCAGTTCCAGACCAGCCTGGCCAGCAAGGTGAAACCCCATCTCTACTGAAAATACAAAAATTAGTTGGGTGTGGTGGTGCATGCCTGTAGATTTAACTACTTGGGAGGCTGAGGCAGGGGAATTGCTTGAATCCAGGAGGCGGAGGTTGCAGTGAGCCAAGATTACATCACTGCATGGAGTGAGAGACCGTCTCAAAACAAAAACAAAAACAAAAACAAAACAAAAAACCTGTATGATATACACCATTTTAATCATGTTTTAAAGTAAACATTGTGGCCATTACTTTACTCATGTATAATACTTTTTCACACCTTAATTATTTATCTTCATTTCCTAGAAGTGAAGTTTCAGGGTTAAAGAGAAGGAATGCGTTTGAGACTATTGAGATGTACTGCTAAATTGCTCTCCGGGAAGATGTTGCCAATTTGGATTTTCACCCATGTGAAATGCATGTTCAATTTTCTTGTTCAATTTGTATGCCCATGTGCACATGCCCATTTCTCTGAATCCTAGTTAATGCTGGACATTATTACTTAAAATTGTTTTTCAATTTGAGAGACTAAAATGGTATCTTGTTTTAATATTTATTACTCTGACTACTTCCAAAGCCAATTTTTTTTTCACATTGTTATTACCCGTCTCTTAAATATGTTTTTCCCCAAATTCAGCTGGGGAATTTTTTTTTCAAATAAGAAATAGCACTGAATTGCATAATGTTCACTCTGTTTCACTTGACACATCTCTGCCTTTTCCTTCCCTAGAGATACTCAAGGAAGTTATTTACCTGCATCAACTTAAGAACCCTTACTTCACACAGTCCCAAGGTTATCACACTTGAGCAACTGTGCAAGAAAGGACATGATTTAACATTGATAGGAAGTACATTTTTAGTAGCTCCCGAGCATGCAGAAGCAAACTGCTGCTTTGCAAAGCTCTCAGGGATAGAAAGGCTGCTTTAAAAAAAAATTGTTCTTTGAGACAGAGTCTCACTCTGTCACCCAGGCTGGGGTGGAGTGGCATGACCTTGACTCACTGCAACCTCCTGGGTTCAAGTGATTCTCCTTCCTCAGTCTCCTGAGTAGCTGGGACTACAGGCGCCCACCACCACGCCTGGATAATTTTTGTATTTTTAGTAGAGATGGTGTTTCAACACGTTGGCCAGGCTGGTCTTCAACTCCTGATCTCAAGTGATCTACTCATCTCTGCTTCCCAAACTGCTGGGATTACAGGTATGAGCCACCGCACCTGGCTGAAAAGCTGCATTTAAAAAAAATGTAGGCAAGGTAAAAAATATTACTAGATTAAATGTTTAAGCACTTGAGAAAGGAGGTGATGGATAAGAACTGAGTTTTATGTACCCAAAAGCATCAGCTTTCCCTTTTTTGTGTTTGTTTTTGATTATCTCTTTCTATTTTCACATCGACTTTCTCTGTTGGTTTTTTAGATTGGACAAGTTGTCCTTGAAGATAGTCTTAGATTTTTAAATTAAATCTTATTTTATTTTATTTTTTTGCAGACAGTCTTGCTCTGTTGCCCAGGCTGGAGTGCAGTGGTGTGATCTCAGCTCACTGCAACTTCTACCGCCTGCTGGGTTCAAGCGATTCTTATGCCTCAGCCTCCCATGTAGCTGGAATTACAGGCATGCACCACCATGCCCAGCTGATTTTTTGTATTTTTAGTAGAGACAGGCTTTTGCTATGTTGCCCTGGCTGGGTCTCCGAGAGATCAGGCAATCTGCCCACCTCGGCCTCCTAAAGTGCTAGGATGACCCACTGTGCCGGGACTTAAAATTAAATTTTGTATGTAATTTGAGAACATGAGTATTTACCATGTGTTCTATTTCTGTGCTTTTCTCTTGCTTTTGGTCAGACTTGTAAATTTTCAGGAAATGATCTGTTTTATGAATAACAGATTAACAAACAAAACCATTGTCATTTATTCTTTCTATTTCCATCTTCCAGATTTGATGAAATTAGTGACTTAAAAATGATACACATTGGAGAACTCAGTAAATATTGAATGAAGGATGAACTGCTACACAAATAAATCCTAAACAAGAAATTAAAGTGTAATCTCATTCTGTACCCTGTCTCTGCAGTCTTGGAAGTGGATCCTTGCACCAGTCATTCTTTACATCTGTGAAAGAATCCTCCGGTTTTATCGCTCCCAGCAGAAGGTCGTGATTACCAAGGTAAAGAATATGCACCTTGCAGCCCGGCACGGTGGCTCATGCCTGTCATCCCGGCACTTTGGGAGGCCGAGGCGGGTGAATCACGAGGTCAAGAGATTAAAACCATCCTGACCAACATGGTAAAACCCTGTCTCTACTAAAAATACAAACATTATCTGGGCGTGGTGGCACGCGCCTGTAGTCCCAGCTACCAAGAAGGCTGAGGCAGGAGAATCGCTTGAACCTGGGAGGCAGAGGTTGCAGTGAACCAATATCACACCATTGCACTCCAGTCTGGCAACAGAGCGAGACTCTGTCTCAAAAAAAA